GTGGAATCATTTATATCAGTCAAAATAGGTTTGTGTCAATTTACTTTGATTTTCTAATTATTATTGGAATCAAATCACCACTAATTCTCTTCATATTTAACACCCGTATTCATCACTAAACGGCCGAATTTAATAATAAATCTGTTTTAACATAAGTATCCTAATACACTAGTATCTTTACTTTCTTCTTAATTTAAATTGTATTTAGTATATTCTCTAATTTAATGGCTTAAGCTACTGATTCGGTAGTAATCAACTACTGGCTTATTCATTTATTCACTTTTCGTGCTCATCCTGCACACATTCAATAGGTAAGAGGTCAATAAACCCGACAACATTTTTTGATTGCTTGTTAATAATCATGAAACTTATTGCGAATATTTATTTCAAAGTACCCTACATCCCATTATTACATTTAGAACAAAACTTTTCCAGGTTTTCCTTCACTCTTTCGTATCATTCTCAGGCTGATTTTTTGGCACTATTCTATACTTTGTTATCTTCAGATGCTCAGTCCTGACAAGCTTCAGCAGCATATGACCGACTTGATTTACGAGGTAGCACAGATCATCTCGGTTCCTGAACACACTAGCACCACTCTTCGCCTGCTGCTAGCCCACTTTAAGTGGGATAAGGATACCCTGATCGACCATTACTTTGGCCAGAACGAGACAGCCACCTTTGCCGAGGCCGGCCTGGCTCCTCTTATCCTACGTGAAACACCAGGTGCTCCCGATTGCATTGGAAGGGGAGCGGTCGGTGGACTCTCCTGCCCAAACTCGATGGCATCCACGCCTACGATGTCATCTTTGGGTCCTATAGTCACTGATTTCCTGCCCGCTTTTTTTCATCCACGTGGACTATCACGCACAGAAGATCAGTCAACAGCTCTAACACAACGCCCGCCAGTAACCATACCAGGTGCTCCAGGGTTACGCTAGGACTTATTATTAACTATTAATTGTCATCTATTTTTTATGCCATGAAGATAATTATATTCCATGTTTGGGGAATTCTTTAAATTCCAATTACTTCTGATTACCTTATCTGCCAGTATTATTATAGATAGTTAATAGATTACTTAATACTATTGCTAATAGTCTACGTAATGCTGCTAGCATGATATAATGGATACTCCACTGGGGCTGCCCACTTGGGATAAATCAGTATACCCACAGGATAGTGCTATATAAATTTGATTTTTGATGTAATTTACTCCACCATTGAGAAGCTCGTTTTTGCCTAAGCTTTAATTCTTGTACAGCAAACCCCTTGGTATTTTTATATATTTGACTGACATCGGTGTTTGCTCAACTCTGCATTTTTAATAGATTCTAGATCGTACTTCTGCGTTTGCTTTTTTCGCAAATTTTCTATGCCGCCTCCAGAAATTAAATTAAATACATTTAATATTATACTTTTAAATTGATTATTTCATACTGCTTCGATACCACTTTCAAGCCAAACTGCATTTACTCGTCATTGCCATTCTATAAACTTATGGCTATGTTTTATGAATATAAAAATATTGTTTGAATAGGACGTCTCTTGTTATAGAGATACAGCTCTTCAAATTACTCCCGACTTCTAGCTCTTAATATCTCCCTTCACAAGTCTATTAACAGAGAACTTGCTACTGCATTTGAGCTTCGCAATGACCTTGTGAGCCATAGCTCACATTGATTTGCAGAAAACTATCGAAACCCATAGCAAGCCACACAGTCTCGTGGCAGGACTATATATAACCAATCAGCGTTTACTCTGTATATTTAATAGCCTGCACTGTTTCATAAAGAATATAATCAATAAACTTAACATCGTATTTTCTCTGCTGCTTCGCTACAAAAAGATTTTGAATTGAATATATATCGCTCGTAAAAAATTGATCAAGGTTGCTGAGTTAGATAGGCGATTATAGAACTAAACAGGTGCTAAGCCGTTTCCAACTCAGAAAAATTAGATCCATTTGAATAACATTATTTTGCATTGAAGTTGTTTGACCTTGTTTTCGCAACTTGGTCATATTGTAAAAAGACTTAGAGGAACGCACTTAGTCCTGAGTCAATTGTATGCATGATTATTTCCAAGGTCGGATAGTGGACGTGGTACATTCAGAGACGTTTCGCCTGCATCGTAGTCGGCATCGTCAGTGAGTCTTGCCATTCTTAGCACCATCCAACAACTCGTCAAAGAGACAAATGAAGCCGACCCTTTGACCAAATGTGTGCTAAACATTTGTGATATCTCTTCTTCTGTCCTGGTCTATTCATCTTTCCTATATCATCGTATCACGCCTTCACTATCACCATTTTTCCTTGCTTATTTAAATGTAGTGGGGTGTGCCATTTTGAGCGGCCTTCATGAGAACCCTCCACACTCCACACTAGCGTTCTCACCCCCCTTCACCGTTACACTGGGAATGAAGATCAGAGTCTCCCATATTGTTACGCAGTCCTCCTTCTCTAGGTCTTGTCTGAATCTCCCTCTTGCCCCGTAGGATCAGTCTGCTATTTCCATGGTTCAAGTATTTCACTCGACCCCTGCCCCCCCCCATCTGTGCTAGTTGAGGCGTTATTATCCCTCCCCTACGCCTGGGCGACTAATTCGAGGCTAAACCTTCTGAGCACAGATGGGGTGGCAGGGGTTAAGTAAAATACTTGAATTAGAAAGATAGCAGACGGATTCTACAGGGCAAGAGGGAGATTCTGACAAGACCTAGAGAAGGAGGACTGCGTAACAATATGGCAGACTCTGATCCTCATTCCCAGTGCAACAGTGAAGGGGGGTGAGAACGCAAACGTGGAACGTGGAGGGTTCTCATGAAAGTTGCTAAAAAGGGCACACCCAACTACATTTAAATAAGCAAGGAAAAAATGGTGATAGTGAAGGCGTGATACGTGGATATAGCAAATGTCAATATCCCGGGACAGAAGGAGAGATGCCACAAATTTTTATCACACATTTGGTCACTTGTCTCTTTGACAAATTGTATTGTCGTGCTAAGAATGGCAAGACTCACTGATGATGTCGGCGAAACGTTGGGAATGTACTACGCCCACGGTCCGACTTTTCATGCATGCAATGGACTCCAGACTAGGTGCGTTCTTCTAAGTTATTCTACCAATGTAACCAAGTTGCGAAAACAAGGTCAAACAACTTCTGTACAACGAAAGGAGGCTGCGAACACACGAAAGATCACACTATCTGGGTCTTCATATCTTCGATTTTTTTGCATTGTTGAATGGATTTCAAGCAAGTGTCATTTTAAGAATTAATTAAGCTATCAATTCTAAGCTGCTCTGGTTACCAAGAGTTTTATTTCTTGTTAAGGCAGGTTAGGATCCAATATTTAGAGTGAAACTTGTTAAACACTTAAAATCTACATTTGCTTGCTTCCTCACATTATTTGGCTTTTTCTTTAAAAAATTTAGTAAATGACAAAATATTAACTACATTAAGGTAAAAAATATTATATTATTTCTCCTTTAAAAATTAAGAGCTTTTATCTCACTTGTTACTTTTTTGATTAATTAAGGGCAGCAGCTAGTCTTTATTAGCGGCTATATCATATAGCTTTTGTTTGTAAGTAGATTTTTTGAAACTTCCAGCAGAGCATATATTTGAGGTGTATACACCATATCTCGTAAAGTCTACTTGTATCATTGTGGGAAAACTCAGCTGCCAGTCCCCTTATCACCTTAAAGGATGTGGAATTCTGGGATGAGGAGTTGGACAAATTGATTAGGGTATTCCTCGGCAACTGCTACCTAGACGAAGTAATACAAAGAAACATACGGGCCGTGAAAACCGATGGCAGAGCAGGGACTACATATATATATATATATATATTCGTAGTCCCTGCTCTGTCATCGCTTTTTCACAGCCCGTATGTTTCTTTGTCTTAATTCGTCTAGGTAGCAGTTGCCGAGGAATATCCTAATCAATTTGTCCAACTCCTCTTCCCAGAATTTCACATCCGTTAAATGTAGGCTTAGGATGATCATGCTCCTCATTATTCCTATCTTTAGCATGCAATTGTGATGGAACCGGAAATTGGGTATTATCTCGCCAAAAGATTTTTTTCTGAACACTTTATTCTTAAGCGTCTCATTAGAGCGAATCACTTCAATATATAGGAAAGGTAATCGTGAATTTGATTTTTTCATCAATCTGGTTTATAAACTTCAGAAAATCTTACAGTTTTCTCTTCCATGTGACCAAAATGCGAAGTACTCATCCAGGTTCCGCATAAGCACTTCTGGTTATAGCGGTGACATCTTTAAGTTATTTTCTATTTTGTTCATGTATACGTTTGCCTGATCCGTTGTGATCCCAGGATATCCTGGTCTCAGTTCAGGATTTCCAGCAGGGCCGTTAACGCATTTTTACTAGAGATGTTTACAATGATTCTACATCAAAACTTACTAATAAGTCTGTTTCTTCCAGTGCCATGCTCTTGATTTTTTGAGAAAATGCGTATGAATGTTTCACCGTGTTTGATAGTCTGTCATTTAATATTTTGAATTTCAAACATATGAACTTTTCCTATTTGTGTTTTGCTCCAAAATTGTTGTGGACTATCCGCCTTAGTGGTTCGCATGCTTTGTTTATCTTCGGTAGTCCATAGGCTGTTGGTGGTTATTCATCCTTTCTTATGATTGAATATCTCGTCTACGCGTCAATTTCCCCGTCCCTATGCATATCTTTCAGCATGTCACTTAAGATTCCATTAATATTCATAGTTGGGTCCTTTTTTAGTCTACGATATGTAGTTCTGTCTCGTAGAATATTTTCCATCTTCTCTGTATATTGTTTTTGTCCATTATCACTACCGCTCCTCCTTTCTCCACCTGAAAGACTAATTGCTCATTCGTTTCTAGGGTCTTGCGTATCCTGGCAAATCTGTTCCTGTATGTTGGAATTAGTTCCATATCCATCTCCCGTTTTGTCTCGTCGGGCAACTTTTTCGAGATATTAGCAACCTATCAGGATGTCTACTAGAAGGCCTCTGTCTTCTTGAAGTGAAAAGTTGAGTTCTTTTTCAAGGAACTTTGTTATTTCCGGATTTTTTTATAAGATGATAAATTTTCTACTTTCATCCTATCGTCGTGCTGACCATTAGGTGTTTTCACCTCGGACAACCTATTTTATATTCAACGGGAACATCAATGAACACATATTTGGACTTCCCATAGGATCGCCGCTCTCACCTCTTTTGGCAAACGTATACATGAAGAAATTAGAAGATAACTTAAGGATGTCACCGCTATAGCCAGAGGTGCTTATGCGGTGCCTGGATGATTACTTCGCACTTTGGTCATATGGAGGATAAATACTGGAAGATCCTCTGAAGTTTATAAACCAGACTGAGGAAAAAATCAAGTTCACGATGGAAGTAGAGGAAGGTAAGTGGTTACCTTTCCTGGATGTTGAAGTGATTCACTCTGATCGGCTCAGGAAGAATTTGTTCTTGTCAATTCGTCAATTTACCCGTTCCTATGCATATCTTTCAGCATGCCACTTAAAATTCCATTGATCTTCATAGTTGGGTCCTTTTTTAGTCTACGATATGTAGTCCTCTCTCGTAGAATATATTCCATCTTCTTTGTATTTTGTTTTTGTTCATTATCACTACCGCGAACCTGTTCCTGTACACTTGTTCTTGATGTGACAAGATCTTTGTAATTAGTTACATCTCCATTTTCCGTCTTGTCTTCTCAGGGAACTCTAGGGTATCTCCTAGAAGGCTCATATCATTTGGATTTGAAAGGTTGAGTTCTTTTTTTCAGGATTTACATGATCAAATTGGAAGAGAACTCCAAGATGTCACTGCTACAACCATCAGCGCTTATGTGACACATAGATGATTACTCAGCACTTTGGTCACATAGAAGAGAAAAATTTAAGGATTTTCTGATGTTTATAAACCAGATTGATGAAAAAATTAAATTCACGATGGAAGTAGAGGAAGGTGAGTGGTTATATTTCCTGGATATTGAACTGATTCACTACAATGGGACGCTCAAGAAGAAATTGTTCAGAAAGAAGTCTTATGTCGGGATAATACTCAATTTCCAAACTTATCCCAATTACAGGCTAAACATAGGAATAATGAAGAGCATGCTCATCTGAAGCCTATCTTTAACAGATGTGGAATTCTTGGACGAGGAGTTGGACAAATTGACTTCGATATTCCTCGGCAATGGCTACCCAAGTGAAGTAACACAAAGAAACATACGGGCCGTGAAAAGCCGATAGCAGAACTTGGAGTACGAAAGAACAGTAAGGACGGAGAATGATTCAGCAAAGTGGATATGCCTACCTTCCTGCGAACTAACTCAAAAACTACGTCAAATATTAGGGAAATTGAATAATAGAGTGGCTATGAAAAAAAATTAACTTTTTTCATGTCTACTGACGCACCCTGAAAGGGTAGACAAATAGGATTGTTCAGGAGTGTGCTGTATCTCATGCGGCGCCTGCGAACATAAAAATATTTGCGAAAAGGAGAAAAATTAGCATACGAATCAGGGAACATCAAAAGCTATGCATGAAAATGGATACCAAAAGGTCAGCATTTGTGAAACACGTCGCACAGATTGGACACGAGATCAATTGGAAGGTAACAGAAAGAAGGGCCTCATACGATGAAAATATAGGGAATCCGAAGATTATTGAGCCCATTGACATCCTTGGGAAGAAAAATCTAATGAACAAAAGATTGGAGGAAGGTTGAGTTAGCGATGTTTAACTCGGAGAAAATAAGAATACAGCAAGACCAGAAAAAGTAGATTCCTGGATCAAGGATCTATCGCTAACCGAAGGAAATGGGATTACGATGAAAAAAGGGGGGAGGGAACTTTCGAGAATCAAACGAAGATTTTATCACTGAGCGCTATCTGTTCGAATAAACCAGTACACCTTTGGAGGCCTGACAGTCAGGGAGCTTGGCAGACGGATAGGCAAACCATCACAGATATTCGTCGTTATGGCTCAAATGTACTAGAAATCCACTTGAGATGTCGCATTCGACCAGAGATAGGCGTCCACAGTTTACTTAGGTAACACGGGTTTAATTAAGGAGAAGACTCATGAAGGCAATGCCTGATATGTGCAAGCATATGAATCAAAGCCTAGGCGCTCTGCTCGGTGAGGCGGCAATATACTTGCTTCTAAGGCCTTGAGAAATTGTGTCTGGAGTAAAACGCACCCTAGGACTGGAACCGAGTGAAATAGGTCAACCAGAAAGATAGGAAACGGATCTACGGGACCACGAGGGAGATCCTAGTGGAATGTAAGCAAGTAAGAAGTTGGGATAGAACGAGAGTTGGATGAGAGTTGATGAATGGGCCAGAACAGAAAGAGGAGTGATAGTGTAACCGTTTTAGGCAGAACGTTGGTCGAGGGATTGACTTCACTTGTCTCTTTGACCAGTTGGTAGCTTGGTGCAGAAAATGGCAACACTCACCGATGATACTGACTACGATGGCGGCGAAACATCTAAGAACTTACCTAGTCCACTGTCTTATTCTGGGAATTATATTAACTATTATGGCAGAGGAGTTCGGACAAGATGCATTCTACTAAGTCTCCCTGACAATAAGACCAAGTTGTGAAAACGAGGTCCTCCCACTTCTAAACTTCGTAACATTTTTATTTCTGGATCAGAATAGCTGTTCCATTTCAGTAATGGCTAATTATTTGACCCAAATGGGACCGAGAACATAGCCTAAACTAGATAAGAATCTGGTTTTGTCATACCTGGCACAGAGAAGTTCTTTTGACTTTATCATGGACAGATTAACTTTCAATGTATAATACTGTTAATTGGCCTACGGTATCCCTTAGCTCTCAAACGAAGTTCTAATAATACTATGACATTTCAGCAAATTATTGTAACGAATGCTATGCTTTTCGACTATTGAAGCTTAAACTACGATTTAAAAGATATTTTTGCTCAGATTCCTTTCTGATCACAATATCCTCATTATATTGCCCACTCATTGACGCTTTCAATCAGCAAGCAGAGTGAGCTCAATTCTCCTCTATTTCCAGGCCGTAGTTGCAGACTTAATATTCAAGCGTTCCTCTACTTCATTATTTTAGTTGATATCATTCTTCCAGCATTTAATTTTTTCTTGATGAGTAGACAGGTTAAACGAACTGAGTTTTATAGCATTCTGGTTCAATTTAGATAGGAAAATCAAAATGGTGTGGCCTTTATTTTGTTCTAGCCGTATAGTATTAGTTTGGCCTCATTTTAGCAACTTTGTCGGGGTGACACGAAGACCTTGTGGTACACATCCAGTTTTGCGTCCTCTGTCATATTTGTCATTATAATTTCCAGCATCGAACCATTTTATAGTCCATTACTAGACGTCTCACCAGTATCTTGGTCAGTTGGAGATGCCATACTTAACACGAAGGGCAAAGTTGAACCTCAATGCTAAGGATGGTGTTCCTTATTGACAATTCTGGAAAAATGTCTAATAAGGCTTTAAGTCATCGGCCAGATGCTTGAAAACTCTCCTCACTACTATAGCACAGGACGCAGGACTGGGTAAGCCCTACAAGCTCTCCTACTACCGTAAGGTTAGGAAAACAAGGTAAAACCAACTATTCAGGTTCAGTTCACACAAGTCTTGATTGGATATTTAACTGAATTAGATTATTAGACTCATATTCCACATTGGTGAGGAATCCTCTGACTTGGCTTAGGACTAATTATTACAGGTATTTGGAGGGAATTAGAATGGCACTTAATAATAGTTTTGACCATAATAACTTCATACTTGTGTAAATCTCACGTTGCCTAGTCGGCCAGACTCACTTAATCTCTATAAAGTATAAAGAATGAGGTCTCTACTGGACTCATGAAAGTGATTCTTATTCTCTAAAGGAGTTGTTTGTTCATCAAAATTGCAAAGGAGCTTGTTATTATTTGCTTATATAATCGTTTTTATTCTATTTTATTCGAAAGTCTTATTTTACATTTTACAGGTGCCTACGTCGTCTCTTCCGTTCGAGCGAATAAAACGAGAGAGCTTTGCGAAATATGTTTTTGTGATTCGGGTAAGCTCATCTATTGAATGGTCTGCCACTCCCTTGGCATTATCTCTGCATTGCTTTCTTACTTATTCCACTCCACGATTTTATAGATCCCTTGGATTTCGAGAGTACTCGCTTTTTAGCTAAATGAGATAAATGGGATTAGACGAGCTTGTGCAAACACTTTTTAGTAATGTTTTTCCAAAATCTGTTTGTTTTCAACTAGCCAACAGCCTTTGTTAAGAAGGTAATTGACTGCGGCTTAAGGTAAGTTTATACTGGCTATATCCTCATTCCACTACTTTTATTCCTCCACTTTTTTACCACTAGTTTGTATACTTTTTAACAAATTAGCTGGGACTTTTCATTCAGTATGCAAGAGTTTACGAGATTCGTTGGTCTCTTATTAAACGATAGGAGATAATCCATGCAATATATTGTTTGGTCTGACGCAGTACTCAACCTATGCTTATGAAATTATGTGAAGATAATCTGAGATATAATCCGCTACATGATAGACTTCATCTTGCTTGTGATAACATAGATAAAAGTTACGAACCTCTTTAAAACTCTTCATATGTAAAGTCGGGTGGATGAGATTCGTAGGATAGCCTTACCAGAAATAGAATAGTAAAGAATTTCAGGCAATCTTTATGTGGTTTTTGATGTTAACCCTTTACGAATCCTTTTCGTTAAACTTTTCGTGCAAAAGTAATGGTCTTAAATTGTGAATATCATAAGGGATTCATAAAAATCCAGTTTTTTAATATACTAAGTTAATAAACTAGCATGCCTTTACTTTTCTACTCCTTATGTAAGCCTACCTTTGCAAAGTATAAACTGATTTATCCATTTTTTTATATTTTCTTAATTTGGTTGTGGCTTTTTACAAACGAAATTTTCTAAATGATAGTTCTAGCAGCTATAAGAGAATAAAGCTCTTCATTTATAAACACTTGAATACTACAGATATATTAAATACATCCGCCTGTCTTACTTAAAGAGCTACCTTTTTCTTAGATATCTGTAAATATTTGAGCTAGCTGTTTAGTTTGTTATTTATTTTTAATGGAAATTCAACAGGAATCAGCCGTTGTTTTCTGATAAGATTGACCTATAAACCTCTTAAGCGTGCATTTTCACAAAATAAAAGTCTTCCTAACAATATTATCTTAAGTGATCAGTCGAAACCCAACTACTTTTACTATCTATTAATTTTAATTGTATAAGTAGGCTCTCGAGACTATAAGTAGGTTTGATATAGGGGCTACATTCACTTTATTTCGTTTAGAATGATGAAGGATTGGTAGTTGAATTTTCTCACAATGGTATGATTAGGCCTCATGTTTCTACTGATTTCTGCATGGCCATGTTTCCTAAAAAGTATTATCATCCATGGTTGATTGCAATTTCGCTAGCCAGATCTCATCAGTATCCCATGCAGGACTCGGAGCCTGTTAGTATAGCATATAATCTTTTCACGTTACCGAATACACCACATTGCTACGTGTGCCCTTGAATTCAGGTTAGATAAGAATTTTAGGGATGGCTAGGAATTTTCTTTTATCACATTCTCATGGAGGATTGTCGGTGAAGCATAGTTGTATTTTATGTAGCAACTGACTACATTACTTTACATTACTCGATTACATTACTCAGTTTATAAGTAGGTTTTCGAGATTGCAAGTAGATCTGTTATAATTTGTTATTTATCTCAATTGCTTTTTATTTCACGAGCTTAATTCGACTTTATAATTGGCGGATACGATTTCGTCGTAGGTTAGATGGGTGCTTTAATTGACTACATACTCGCTGGGGAGGATCTTGAATTATCAAGTACCTACAGTTGGTTGTCCCTTTTCCTGCGTGAAGGTAATAGAAAGGACCTGAAACTTGCTCTGTTGTCGATGCCGCTTATTATGTTCTTTATGAACCTTTTCCTAAGCTAGAATTTTACTTCTACTTCTTACTCCTTCGTTCGCTAACTGGAAAACCAGGCGATGATTCTTTCTTTATCCAGATTAGTTTAGAGGTCTAAGGATATAAAAATTTGACTAGTAATGATAGCAGCAGGACATTGTAAAAAGCTAAGGCCTCTCAGTTGGTAGAAGTTTTGATAGATCGATGCAAGGATGGGCGTTGTTCGAGTGACTACTTCAAAACTTGTAGAGGTTTTTCCAATCTATGAGTTCCCCGCATATACCTATCCTATTCCGTGCTGATTGGTATAACCTTAATTGATCCTTTCTACACTCGAGACAGGCTATTTGTATCTCATTTACCCGGGTACGTTTGTGTGGGCTTCAGCTTTCAAATATAACACGCAAAAGTCTTTGGTCGCAGTCT